GGGGCCCAAGCACTTGGGCCACCCTCTCTGCTTTTCCGGACACACTCAACAAGCAGGCAGCTGGATCAGAAGTGGTGCATCTGGGACTCAAGCCGGCGCTCTGTTACGGGAGACACGCAGCATGGCAAGCGGTGGCTTAACCCACAGCGCCAGCCTCGAATTAACCACCGCACACACACACACACACACACACACACACCCTGTAGAGCTGAGTATTTAACGCGCTGTGCTGCAGGCCACCGCGTGGGCCACCCGCGGCCTTGCTTCGAGTTCCAGCCACTCTGCTTCTCACCCCGCTCCCTGCCCATGCGCCCGAGAAATCGCAGCAAACGCCGCCCCCCGCTGTAGGCTCCCCTCGCCCCCACCCCCGGCCACCTCTGCCCACTTCTGCGGCAGTCACGTGGAAACAGGTCAGCCCCTCGACACAAAGAGCCCTGAATGTGCGGGAGAGGGCCCCCTCCACCCGCCGTGGTCCCAGTCTGGGCTCCTCGGCTGCACCCCGGGACGCAGTGACCAGGAGCTGAGAAGCGGCAGGTGCGTGACGCCTGGCGCATTCGCGGGCACTTGGGGTGTCAGGGAGTGGCGTGGAGGAAGCCGCCAAGGCGGGGCGCAGGGACACGCTAGACGGCAGTGACGGGGCAGGGGCTTGCTGGCGGGGGATCCCCACCGCTGGGACTCGGGATCACTCGGCCCCGGGGCCGGGCTCCAGTGACCCAGGGCTCCGGTGACCGCCGGCCTGCGGGTGAAGAGGGCGCGGCCCCCGGAGGAAGCCGCACAGCCGGCTGCGGGCTGGGCGAGGCGGCCCGACCGCCCTCGGTCAGTTTCCCGTCAGGACCCCAGATTGGCGTCTTGTGCTTTGCCGCCTCCCTCAGATCCGGTAGGCAGTGCCTCGCCATTTGTAAAGCAGTCAGCTTAGGGGGGTCGTGGCGCGTCCGCTGTGCGGGGTGGTTTGGTGTCGAAAGGCGTGGCTTGGGAGGAGCTTCGCTGTGGCCCCTGATGGGCCGGGCCGGTGTGGGCGGAGCGTTGGGAGGGGCCGGGCCTAGGTGGGCGGGGCGTTGGGAGGGGCCGTGCCTGGGTGGGCGGAGCGTTGGGAGGGGCCGGGCCTGGGTGGGCGGAGCGTTGGGCGTGGCCCTGGGGCGCCAGCGGCGCACCTGTGTTGGTTTGGGACGATGCCTCCAGCTACCGTTTAGGCGGCGCTTACCTTCCAGTAAAACGGTTCAAGCCGAAGGCCTGCAAGTGCTCTTAGAGCTGCTTCCTCAGCGGCCGCACGGTATCTCCCCCTCCGGGGCGCCCCAGAAATCCTCTAGCAGTGGTCCGTGACGCCTCCCCTCCGTCTTGCAAAGCTGCTAGGGTGCGCACCCCTGGTGTCCCTGGGCGCATTTGATGTGCGCGTTGTGAGCCCCGTGGCCGGAGCCACACGGCCCCGGGAGGACGCGGGGAGCCCTGAGAAACAGTCGCGAATGATCCGATCAGGTGGGCAGGGGCTTCGCGGGGTTCGGGGTGCAAGCGAGGCCTTTGCAGCCCAGGGACCCAGCCTGGCGGAGGGGTCGTCAGGGGTCGCTGACGTCTCGGAGCCTGCACTGCCTCCCCGTTTTATTTAAGGATAAAATAAGTAGCTATCAGAAAAATACTCAGAAATGTGTTTGGCACATTGTATGCTATTATATTTTTTGCTCGATTAAATTAGCAAACCTATGATCAGATTTTGTTCACTTTTTCTTCTGTGAATTCCCTGTTGAGATCCTTAGTTGCACTGTTCTACATTTGTCTTTTCCTTGATATATATGAGCTCTGTAAACCCAGGAAGATCTCTCTCTGTAACTGTGTCTTTCAAATAAATAAATAAATCTTAAAAGAGAAAGAGAGAGAGGAGAGACAGGCTGGTGTTGCCGCAGAACGGGTTAAACTGCCACCTGGCATCTCATACCGCCACCAGTTCAAGTCCCGGCTGCTCCACTTCCCATCCATCTCCCTGCTAGTGCTCCTGGGAAAGCAGCAGGGGATGGCTCACGTGCTTGGTTCCCTGCACCCCCATAAACCAGGGTAGAGCGTCAGGCTCCTGGCTTGGTTCTAGCTGTTGCAGCCATTTGGGGAGTGAACCAGCACATGGAAGATTGATCTCTCTCTCTCTCTCTCCTTAATATATATTTATTTATTTATTTACTTGAAAGGCAGAGTTACACAGAGAGAGGCAGAGAGAGAGAAAAAGAAAGAGAGAGGTCTTCCATCCGCTGGTTCACTCCCCAACTGCCTGCAACAGCCGGAGCTGTGCTGATCCAAAGCCAGGAGCCAGGAGCTTCTTCCAGGTCTCCCACATGGGTGCAGGGACCCAAGGACCTGGGCCATCTTCTACTGCTTTCCCAGGCCACAGAAGAGAGCTGGATCGGAAGTGGAGCAGCCGGGACTTGAAATAGCGCCCATATGGGACGCCAGCACTGCAGGCAGCAGCTTTACCCACTGTGCCACAGTGCTGGCCCCTAAAATAAATCTTTTAAAAAATGTGTTCACCTTCTCTCTGTCTCTCTCTCACTAACTCTGTCAAAAAAAAAAAAAAAATGTGTTCACCAGTTAGTTGTCTTTTGACTTTGTGGATTTGTTTTATGATGATTTAAATGTTTGCATAGTTAGGCCGATTAATCGTTTCCTGGAGGACTTCTGGGCGTGGAGTCTTTCTAAGAAAGAAATGCCGGCCGGCACCATGGCTCACTTGGTTAATCCTCCGCCTGCAGCACCGGCATCTCATATGGGTGCCGGGTTCTAGTCCCGGTTGCCCCTCTTCCAGGCCAGCTCTCTGCTGTGGCCAGGGAGTGCAGTGGAGGATGGCCCAAGTGCTTGGGCCCTGCACCCCATGGGAGACCAGGAGAAGCACCTGGCTCCTGGCTTCGGATCGGTGCAGCTCCGGCTGTAGCAGCCATTGTGGGGGGTGAACCAACGGAAGGAAGACCTTTCTGTCTGTCTCTCTCTGTCTATAACTCTACCTGTCAAATAAATAAAAAGAAAAAGAAAAAGGAAGAAATGCCTCCTGCTTCCTGAGTGCTTCTTGATCTCATCTTTCACACTGACATCTCCCATCCATCTCTTGATCTCATCTTTCACACTGACATCTCCCACCCATCTGCAGAGTATCCTGGGAACAAAGCAGGAGGCAGCAAACCCAACATCACCCTCTTTCCCCCAAGGGCCTCGCCAGCTTTCGACGCACTGGCTGTGTTTAGAAAATCCCTTTTCTGTCCTACCAATCTAAAAGAAATAGCATCGCTGTCAGAGCCCACATCATCAGATGCGCAAACTCTAATTCTAGATCGCTTATCCTCTCCGCATTTGGCTGACCCACTTATTCGGCATTAAATTACAGAGCCAGGGGCCAGCGCTGTGGCGTGGCGGGTAAAGCCACTGCCTGAGACACTGGCACCCCGTATGGGTGCCTGTTTGAGTCCCGGTTGCTCCACTTCCAATCCAGCTCTCTGCTGTGGCCTGGGAAAGCAGTGGAAGATGGCCCAAGGACCTGGGCCCCTGCACCCATGTGGGAGACCCAGAAGAAGCTCCTGGCTCCTGGCTTCAGCCTGGTCCAGTCCTGGCTGTTGTGGCCATCTGGGGAGTGAACCAGTGGATGGAAGACCTCTCTCTGTGTCTCTTTCTTTCTCTGTGTAACTCTTTCAAATAAATACGCCTTTGAATACTTAGAGTGATATTGAGGCTCATGTCCCACTTCGTTATTGATTAGGAAAGCTGATCTGCCCACGCTGATTCTCCTGAATGTTCTCCTTGTTCTCAGAGCGAAGAGTTTCACGTGTACATTACGTCCAGATGTGACAGGCCCTTTTTTTTTAAAGATGCATTTTATTTATTTGAGAGGCAGAGTGAGGGGGTGCGGGTGGGGAGAGAGAGAGAGAGAGCCCTTCCATCCCCTGGTTCATTCTGCAAATGACCCCAATGGCTGGGGCTGGGCCAGGGTAGAGTCAGCAGCCAGGAGCTTCATTCAGGTCCCCCATGTGGGCACAGGGGCACAGGGGCCCAGGTTCTTGGGCCGTCTTGTGCTGCTCCCAGGTGCATTAGCAGGGAGCTGGGTGGGAAGTGGAGCAGCCGGGTCTCACCAATATGAGCTGCTGGTGCTGCAGGAGATGATGTCACAACACCGGCCCCAGACATTCATCCTCTTGTATCTGCATCTACTTAAAAAAAAAAAAAGATTTATTTTTATTTATTTGAAATATAGAGTTACAGAGAGAGAGAGAGAGAGAGAGAGAGAGGTCTTCCAACCACCAAATGGCCATAATGGCCAGAGCTGAGCTGATCCAAAGTCAGGAGCCAGGAACTTCCTCCGGGTCTCCCACATAGGGCCATGTTCTACTGCTTTCCCAGGCCACAGCAGGCCTCGGCAGAGGTCCTGTGGCCTCAGACGCAGCACTGACCGTGCCAGCGAGGTGTGCCCAAGGGGTGGAATTCAGTCCCAAATCCCCAGAGAGGAGGAGCTGTTCTCTGAGCAGGCAGAAACCTGGGGCGGGTCAAGAGCAAGCAAGGGACGAAATGAAGGAAAGCAGCTCTCCTCTCACCGTGGAGCTCAACAAAACGGCCACTGCAGCCACTCACGCTTCCCACCTGAAACACCCCCCAAGCTTCCGTTCAGATTTGGAGATCCCTGCCCAAGAACCCACGGGCGGAGAAGGATGAGGGGGCTGGACAGGAAGTGGAGCAGCCGGGACTTGAACTGGCACCGGTATGGGATGCCGGTGCCACAGGCTGAGGCTTAGCCTAGTGTGCCACAGTATAGTAGACCACAGATGGGAGACCAATCCCTGGCTTTTAAATCAAAAAGGAAAAAGTAACCCTCGGGGGTCCTCCCCATCTGGAAACCCTCCCCTCTGCGGAGACCTCGGCACGCTGGCAGGAGCCGCAGCCGGGGAGAAAGATGGCTGCTGCTCAGGTCCAGGGCAAGCGCGATGGCTGGGGTCCAGGCACCTTCCCTCAAACTGCGCACGGAGAGCACACTGAACAGGAACTTCATCAGCCGAGCTTTATTTACACGTACACGCATGGTGCCAGGCGTCCACACAGCGCAGCCCTAACGGACTTGATCTTGGACCTGGGCCCCTCGGGAGTCCGGCTCGCTCCCGCGTGCTGTTGTGCACACGCACACGGAAAACCCTGCTGCTCGCGATGAGCGGCTGCCACGCCTTTTCCCTGCACCTGCAGTGAGGCTCCCGCTGAGAAACAGGCCTTAAAGCTGAACCCCCAACAGCTCACGTTCTTCAAAGGGGGCAACTCGGACAGAGCCACGGGGGCACAAGCACGGCCAGTACATAGCTGGGGAGTTGTGGCAGAACGGGGAGGGGGCATGGGGATCAGCAGGGGAGACCTTCGGGCCTTCAGCAGGTGCATGGGACTGGACTCCGCCCACTGGTGCAGAAACACCGAACTCGAGCCCTGCACACAAACAAGCTAACACCTGCCGGTGTGCACAGAGGGGGCTGGTTAGGGTCATGTGGTCACTTTCCACACTCGAAAACACACGAGAGAGAGGCTGCCCCACATGGCTCTGGATGGATGCCTTGGACTCAGGGCAGAGTGTGGCAACCACTGGTCCCGGGCACATGCACACACATATGCACACTCACACACACGTGTACACATGCATATGACACGGCAGTCCAGTCTTACTTAGCATGTCTCAGATCAGAAGGGAGATGTCAGCCAGTTTTTTCCAGGATTTCCTTCCCCCCACCCTGTACAGGAGGAGGGGTCTTCAGCCCTGCCCACTCACCGGTCACAGCACAGACCGGAGCGGAAAAGAGGCCGCCCCACTCTGCCAAGGCCAGTGAGCGAGCAGGGAGTCAGGGGAAAGGCTGGGCGCCGGTGAGCACCGCACGCACCCTGCCGGTGCACAGAGGGGAGTGAACGTTCGAGAACTTTCCCAAGCCACTTACCCACTCTCCCGCTTCTGAAGATGAGACACGGAGGGGAAAGAGCAGGCCTGGGGGAGAGAGAGGCAGAGGGAGTCGCCCGCCCCCATCCCTCCCACCCAGGGCTCGTGGGCCATTTACCTCCGGGGGCCAGACACCCACAAACTCATCCCCAAGCATCCCAAGTCTGGCCTGAGCCCACAAGAGAAGTCGCTGCTCCGGCCTGGGGCTTCTTCCCAGGCCCACCTTCAACTCCTCCGCCAGGCGCTCCCAGATCAAAGCTTACTGGTATCTGCGGATAAACAAGACCAGCGAGGGTGGAGGCGGGGACAGGTGTCAGGAGGCGACAGGTGTCAGGAGGGGACAGGTGTCAGAAGGAAGCATCCCTGAACTCCCAAACTCCGGGCACTCGGAGAGGCCGAGTGACCATGGCGACCCTCACCAACGAGAAGGGGGTGGGGGTGCTGTATCCCCTCCTACCCCTCCCCCACCGCAGGGGTCCCCAGTGCTGGCCCTCAGGAGTTCCTAAGAGCAGTTTGGGCTCCCGTCCCCAAACCTCACCTGTGCCATCAGTCTCCTCCATGCGCTAAGGCTCCCCACCCCATCACCCACTTGATCCACTGCACGCTGGGTGCCTCTGTCCCCAGCCACTCTCCTCCCACCACTCCTGACACATGGGAATCACTCCTGTGTCACGCTCACCAGCAGAGGCATGGGGAGCGCCTCCCGGCCTGGCCGTGGGAGCCCTGGACGTGGAGGCAGGCGGCTCTGCGGGCTGCGGGCCCCTGGGGACCGGTGCCTCCCTCCTGGGGATGGTTCCTTTCTTGGGAGTCGCCGGCTTCTTCTGGGCGTCTTCGGAACCCACCAGGACGTAAGAGCCGGGGCCCAGGCGCACCTTCTTCTTCTTTCTGGGGGGCGTCTCCTGACTCCCGTCTTGGTCTGACTCACAGGCGGCTGCGGGGCTCCCGGAGTCCACGGCTGGGTCGCCGGGCACCTGCTTCCTGGCTGACTCCTCCTGCTTCACGGGGGGCTTCGGGGGGCTCCTGCCCGACTTGGAGACCTCCATGCTTTCCGCCTCTCCAGCCCTGGCCTCCGCCTCCAGGGCCGCCTGGCTGGATCCGTGGATGCCTCTGGGTTGTTTCCAGGGTGCTGGCTCCTGCTTGGGGTTCTTCTGCTTGTTTCTCCTGGAGCGAGACGCGGCTCCTGTCCTGCGGACCAGGGGCTTCGGGGGGTCCCCCTGGTCTTCCAGCTCTGGCCAGGCGCCGCCGGCATCCTCCACCTTCAGGGCAGAGCCCACCTCGGCAGCAAATCCGGGCTCCTTCTTCACCTTCTTCCCTGCTGTGCCGGCCCAGGCCGCCGCCGCCTCGGCCAACTCCTGAGCTCTGGCTTCGTCCCGGCTGCGGGTCTGGGCGTCCATGCAGAAGATGACCTGCACGACTGCCCCCAGCAGCACGCCCAAAGCCTCCGCCCAGCTGTCCGAGGGCCGACCCTGGTTCTGGGGCTGCGGCTGCTGGTTGAGCTGCAGCAGGTGGACCACATCCTCCCAGGTACGCCCCTCGGCCTCCAGGAATTCATGCAGATTCTTCAGAAACTCGGCATCCTGGGTGGGGTCTCTACAGACCACCCTCCAGGGACCGCCCCGGCCTGGGAACTCCCGGGGGAGGGTGCTCAGGTTCAAGCCCTCGCCGACCTCGAGGAGGGCGGCCTTGGCGTTCTCCTCCCTCAAAAACATCTTGTTGAGCACGCGGTAGGGGCCCAGGGGGGCGAGGACCGCGTTCAAGGTCTCCTCGATTTCCGCTTGGCCACAGTCCTCCGGGATGCCCGTGACCAACAGGGACCTGTGGATGTCCACTTCCATCCCCCGACACCAGTCTTCCAGAAGGTTCATGGCCATGGCCCCAAGAGCCCAAGAGGCGGGTGGACGGATGTGGGCTGCTGGCGGCGGACCCCAAATATCAACCCTGCAAGGTCACCAGACGGTGAGGTCAGATGCGCGGGGAGAGGACCCCTCGTGATTTCCCAAGACCCTCCTCCCCAGCCCGGGGCCCGAATGCTCACACGTGTCCGGGAAGCTGCCCTCCGTCCCGCCCCCGGGGCCTGGCACCGGCAGCCCCGCCTCCGACAGTCCAGCCGGGCCAAGGACAGGCCGCTGGGATGCAGCCCCTCCCCAGGGCTGGCCCCGGCCACCTCGGCGCTGCAAGACGACAGGCAGCTGCCGGCCGCCCCCGGCTCCAACCCGGGCGGATCACGCGATTCCCAGCCTCGATCCCGGCCGCCGCGCGGAGCCGAACCCGGCGCCCCGCAGCGCGCGCCTGCGCACTTGCTCCCGCGCCCCGGCTCCCGGTCCTCCGCGGCGCAGCTCCGGCGGTCGTCATGGCAACTCGCGCTGGGTTGCTAGGGCTGATAGGGGCTCTGGGCGGCAGGTGGAGGTGCACCTGTCCAGGCCTTCACCCAGCAGAGGGACTGGACATGCTCAAGTTGTCCCACCAGACCCTCTCTTTCTGCCCATGTGGACCTTGGGAGCAGGGGTGGGGTTCCGGGTGCCTGTGCTGGGTTCTAGTCCAGCTCTTTCATTCCTTATGTTGAATTCAGCCAACGAGACCCCCCCCCACCCCGAGATGCCGGACATTAGAGGGCAGCAGGGAAAGGAGGCTTGAATCCCCTGGGTTTCTCCCCAAAACCCATAGCTTCTGTTGGGCAGCCTGCTCCAGCTGCCACTTCTGGGTTCTAGAAACTTCCAGAAATTTCCAGAAAATTCACCCCCCCCTTTTTTTTTGGACAGGCAGAGTTAGACAGTGAGAGAGAGACAGAAAGAAAGGTCTTCCTTTTTCCATTGGTTCACCCCCCAAATGGCTGCCATGGCCGGCGCACTGCACCAATCCGATGGCAGGAGCCAGGTGCTTCTCCTGGTCTCCCATACGGGTGCAGGGCCCAAGCACTTGGGCCATCCTCCACTGCACTCCCTGGCCACAGCAGAGAGCTGGCCTGGAAGAGGGGCAACCGGGACAGAATCCGGCGCCCACATGGGATGCTGGCGCCACAGGCGGAGGATTAACCAAGGGAGCCACAGCACCAGCCCATGGGATGGATCGGTTTCTAAGCATTTTGTTTTCTGGTCATATGGGAAAAAAGAAAATGAATCACTTGAAAGCTATAAATAAAAATTGAGTCCAGAGAATCTTTTTTTTTTTTAAAGATTTATTTTATTTATTTGAAAGACAGAGTTACACAGAAAGATAAGGAGATACAGAGAGGTCTTCTATCCACTGGTTCACTCCCCAACTGGCCGCAAAGGCCAAAGCAGCACCAATCCGAAGCCAGGAGCCAGGAGCCAGGAGCCAGGAGCTTCTTCTGGGTCTCCCACGCGGGTGCAGGGGCCCAAGGACTTGGGCCATCTTCCACTGCTTTCTGAGGCCATAGCAGAGAGCTGGATCGGAAGTGGAGCAGCCGGGACTCGAACCGGCATCCATATGGGATGCTGGCACTGCAGGCAGTGGCTGTACCTGCTACGCCACAGCGCCAGCCCCGAGTCCAGAGAATCTTTAAACTAGGGGCTGGCACTGTGGTGTACTGGGTTAAGCCTCCACCTGCAGGGCCAGTATCCTATACGGGTGCTGGTTCAAGTCCCGGCTGCTCCACTTCCAATCCAGCTGCCTGCTGGTATGCCCAGGACAGCAGCAGAGGACGGGCCAGGTGCTTGAACCCTGAACCCATTTGGGAGACCCGGAAGGAGCTCCTGGCTCCTGACTTTGGGTTGGTCCAGCTCCAGCCATTTCAGCCATTTGGGGAGTGAACCAGAGGAAGGAAGAGCCCCCCACCCGTAAGTCTGTCTTTCAAATAAACAAATAAAAATCTTTTAAAAAAAAGTATTAAATAAAGAAAAGTGATTATAACAGACAACATTAAAATAAAAAGGGCATTATTTTTTTAAAAAAAAAAAGGAATCTTTAAAAAACAATGCTGTGTGTATATATCTATGTCATGTATTCCAAAATCTTTAAGATATTTTAAGAGAATTTTTTTTAAATTTGTTTATATATAAAAAGGAACTATATATATAAATGTACATATACATTTCAAGAAACTCACAGAAAAGTCACATTACCCTTTAACTCGTTTGTCCATGAGTTTCCGGAAGGTCCCTGGTGTGTGTGTGTTAGGGGGGTCAGCTGCCTGCCAACTCCCCCAGTCAGGAGCCACACAGATTGCCGGCCCATTTAAAAATAGTGGCTAGCACCTGTAACAGGAGTCCGTGTGGTTTCCACGACAACGCGTGGTCCCGTGGTTCCCGTGGCAACGCCCTGGTCTGCGGTTTCCCCGGCAACGCGTCCCCGAAGCTGCAGGTCCCGCCTCCCTCCCTGCACCGCGCGGCCCCGGTTTTGCCTGTGGGCTTCTGTTTTTCCGGGCTGGGTGTTTTACGTGGGGATCCACACGGCGTGAAGATTCAGGGGGCCCGGGGCAGGCATCCTGGGCCCCGCGTGGCCACGGCCCCGCGGGCGTTGTGCAACTCCGGCTGACGCCGCCCCTCCCACCTCTCCCACCCCCCAATCCCACGTCCACCCCCGCCCCCACAACGCGCAGGCGCCCACCTCAACATCTGTCCACTCACACCTTATCTCACAGCATCATTGCTAAACACACGGATTATTTCCAGGTAGCCATACCTTTTTATTTTTATTTTTATTAAAGATTTATTTATTTGTTTGAAAGAGCTACTCAGAGGAGACGCGGGGAGAGAGAGAGAGAGATCTTCCATCCGATGGTTCACTCCCCAATTAGCTGCAACAGCTGGAGCTGTGCCTATCCGAAGCCAGGAGCCAGGAGCTTCCTCTGGGTCTCCCACGTGGGTGCAGGGGCCCAAGGACTTGGCCATCTTCTACTGATCCCGCAGGCCACAGCAGAGAGCTGGATTGGAAGTGGAGCAGCCAGGTCTTGAACAGGCGCCCATATGGGATGCTGGCACTGCAGGCCAGGGCTTTAACCCGCTGTGCCACAGCACCGGCCCCATACCTTTTTTTATTTTTAATTTCTATTAAAATACCCCAGAAAAAAAGAGAGAGGGAGATAATCGGTTGGCCAAGAGTTAATGGTTATTACAGCAGGAAGCTCACGATGTTATTTAGTCTCTATAGATGTAGACATTTCACAGTTTCCATAAATAAAAACTTTACAAAGGAGAGAAGAAAAATGTCTCCTCTCTAGAACTGTATCTAGAAAATACATGCAATCTGCTCTCTTTATATGAATAAGAATTAAAAAAAAACTGTCATATCTGTCTTTGGCATCATTCCCCCTTTTTTTTACGAACATGATTTTTTAAATAAAGATTTAATTTATTTATTTGAGAGGTGAGAGAGACAGAGAGAGGGGTCTTCCATCCACTGGTTCACTCCCCAAATGGCCACAATGGCCAGAGCTGAGCCGATCCGAAGCCGGGAGCCAGGCACTTCCTCCTGGTCTCCCACACGGGTGCAGGAGCCCAAGCACTTGGGCCATCCTCCACTGCCTTCCTGGGCCACAGCAGAGAGCTGGACTGGAAGAGGGGCAGCTGGGACTAGAACCAGTGCCCAAATGGGGTGCCGGGGCCACAGGCGGAGGATTAACCTACTGTGCCATGGAGCCAGCCCCGCTAACATGATTTTATGGACAGAATAAAACCCATCTCCATAGGATTTTATTGCTTTAATCCTAGTTGTTCTCACAATGTGTATCCTTCTCTATAACCTTTTTAAAAAGATTGTATGTATTGGAGAGGCAGAGTTACAGACAAAGAGGTCTTCCATCCCTGGTTCACTTCCCAAATGGCCGGAGCTGGGCAGATCCGAAGCCAGGAGCCAGGAGCTTCCTCCAGGTCACCCACACGGGTGCTGGGCTGCAAGCACTTGGGCCATCTACTACTCCTTCCCCAGGCCATGGCAGAGATCTGGATCTGAAGTGGAGCAGCCGGGACTCGAACCTGGGGCCCATATGGGATGCTGGCGCTACAGGCAGAGGCTTAATCTATGCCACGGTGTCAGCCCACTCCCCTGCAACTTTAAAAGGTGAAACTGGGACAGGCATTTGGGTAGCAGTGGAGCTGCTTGTGTCCCACAGCAGAGTCCCCATCCAGCTCCCCACTCACGCACACGCTGGGAGGCGGCAGGGGATGGCTGGAGGGCTCCTGTCGCTCCCCCTCTTCGTGGAGGAACGACACAAGACCCTGCGCTGTTCTTTTGTCTGCTCGGCCCTCCCCGGGTTTGCTGCTGGTTCTTCCCGGGTTGGCTACCGTCCCTTCCACCTCCATGGAAGGGCAGTTCCCCCTGCCACTTTCCCCACTTCCGCGGGGGAGCAGCACACCGCCGGCCGGCTCTCTCGGGGGCTGCACGGGTGTTCCTTCAAATAGATGTTCCCTGTGCATGTTGTCTCTCTCCTCCTTTATAGTCCTCTTCCACCAATCCCAACTCTGCTACCCACACGCTGAGTACGCTGCTCTCCTCCAATCAGGAGCAGGTCCTGCTGTTTATTGGTTGAACTGGAGGCAGCTGTGTAGAAGCTGTTTCCTCCTCTCCCAGCGCCATATTGTGGGAGAGCAGATGCATAGAATAAGTCTTAATTCCAGTAACTTAGTCTAGTCCGAGTTGCTCCCAGTTGCTCCCCACAGGCTCCCAGCTCTGACTCTGCCCGTGAACCTGAGCCTGAAGCAAGCTGTCTGGGCCATCCCTCTGAGCCTTCTCCCACCTTGCGTTAGTGTCTTTGGAGGAGTTACGGTGACCTCACCCCAAAATCATCACCACGCCCTCGTCCTGTGCCTGGGGATCCCGTCGTGATGGTCAGGAGCACACCACCCCTCCTTTACGAGCCTCAGTTTCTCTGTCTGCTTAATGGGGTGTTGGGAGGATTCTGGAGGCAACACACAGGAATCGGGGGCCTCTGGGTTATAGAACCCCCTCAGCACCTGTCAGTCAACGTCGCTGTTACCCTCTACGTGGAGAAATGGGTCCCGGCACTGTGGCGGGGTGGGTGACACCACCACCTGCAACACCGGCACCCCATGGAGTCCTGATTCGCACCCTGGCTGCTCCACTTCCGACCCAGCTCCCTGCTAATGAACCTGGGAAAGCAGAGGAGAGACAGAACACGTTCATCTGCTGGTTCACTCCCCAAGTGGCCACAAGGGCCAGGGTTGGGCCAGGCTGAAGCCAGGAGTCTGGAACTCCACTCTGGTCTCCCAATGGGTGCAGGGGCCTGAGCACTTGGGCCATCTGCTGCTGTTTTCCCAGGCGCATTAGCAGGGAGCTGGATGGGAGGCCGAGCAGCCGGGACCCCA